GTTCTCATTATTCTTATGTATTTCTTGGTGGATGTATTATTTATGGACAACTTAAATGTGATATAAATTAAAAAAGGTGCTGTTTACATGCATTAGATATGTAAATAAGAATGATTGATATTTGTGAAAGATGTAACAAATATATGCTAAAATTACAAAGTTATTGTTTAATTAATAACTTTTTTTTATTATCGAGAACATGCGTTTTCGATCGTAATCCATGCAATGATTATAGACAAAAAATTATTAAAACTTGAATCTATTTCATTTTCTTTAACTATTAATTTTTCATTATAGCAGTTTTATAGTTTTATGTTTTATACTAAATTGATAAAGCGAAAAGCGTGTAAGATAAATAATAAAAAGAGGAAAAGGCCGACAAACGAGTAAGAAATTATATATTATTGATTTTCGTTGTCTCGGATAAATAATAAAAATTTTTTGATGATAATATTGTTTGTATAACATTTAATTTCTTGTCGGCCTTTTTCCCTTTTTATTGTTTACATTTTGTTTGTTTATATATATATATATATATATATACACATACATACATACATATATACATACATATACATCACACACCACACACACACACATATGTTAATTAGATTTTCAATGTGTTAAACCATGAGTCCGTAACTTACTCTAGATATTTTATTTCTCTAATAAATTTTTATTATAAATGACATTACATATCAATAAATCGCATTTTATTTCGTGATACACTCCGATATGAACGAGATTTAAATTTAGTAAGACCTGTTTAGTAATATTAGAGCATTTAAATTTAAATCTAGTATTTCTAGTGACTCTATCATGACGAGGCGCGACAACGGTGCATTAACGAACGCACTGGAAACCGAAGGGCGGGTTGGCAGATGTCGCCAACGGTTTTGATTTAAATCAAATGGAAAGTCGTTACTTTCGTGCCGGCAGAAAAATTCCTATTCGTCTCGATGTGCCATCCCGCCAAGTAACAGTCGGGAATAAACGGCGCTCGATGCATGAGTCGAACTCATATAAGGTGTGAATAGTTGTGTTTCGTATCACGCGGGTATTAAAGCGTTCTGTCCGTGATATCATGTAATGTCGCGTGGGTTCGGATATTTCGTCCGGATAGAAGATTGAATCGATACGCGCATCTCTTGCCGCGTTGAAGTAAATTTTAACGTAATAGAGGTAACCTTTTTGGCTGGTACACGATACATCATGAATGCCCGATCGAAGGACGAGATCCGGGATAAAATTTTCAAGGATCTGCAGTTGATCCATAATCGTCGCGTGGAACTATCGAACCGTCTCAAAGAGAGTCTCGAGGAAAATTTGCTCTACGTGCATGAATTATTTACGCAATTGTCACAACCGTCATCCGGCCCGCTGATCCCGAAGACGCCAAAGATATTGCGAAAGAAAGCGCCTCAGCCTCGTATCGAGACCATACTAGAAGATGAAGTGTTGCAGCAGGAAACCATTTCGCCAAAGAGTTCTCCTCAATCTGTCAAGGAAGAGGAGCGAAAGGAGAGCGAGGTAGTAGGTACTAGACTCAAGAGAAGAGCATCCAAGAAAGCAGCGGATAACATCAAGAAACAAAGTATCATCCTTCAAGTTGATTCTGCAAAGAAAGTAAGTAATTTAAGTGATTCTTCATATGTTTTTATGTAAAGTTGAATTATGAAATATTATGTGATATATGATTTTGCAAATATTAGGTAAAGAGAGACAGTCAGGTTAAAAGGAAAAAGTCAGCAAGCAGTTCTGATGAGGAGAATAGTGTTTCTAAGTATAGTAAAATAGAAAATCAAACAGAAGCAAAAGATTCAACAAGAAGATTGACAAAAAAGAAGTCTAAACAGATGGATCAAGTTATTATACCTGTTATAAAGACTGAGGAGATTGAAAAGGAAGATGATAACTTGAAAGTACCAATTCGACAACGTTCTAGTAGATCAAACTCTAAAGATTCTCAGAATAGAGAAGAAGATAAAGTAGATGATACAATTGTAGCACCTAATGCAGATGATGCTGAAGAACCATCTATGTATGAAGATGCAATCGGAAGGCCTATTCCAATTATGAATTCAACCTTAAAGCACAGTCTCCATACACCTGGAACTGCATTAAATGCTACTGTGGTATTAGAACGTTTACCACAACAGTCAAAATTAAACGAGACAGTGGTAATTCAAAAAGCAATAAACATGAGCAATAGTAAAAAATCTAAAGAGAAGCAAAGCGTTCAAAAAGAACTACAAGACAATACGCAGGTGTCCCAAGCACCTGTGCAATATAGCAATTATAATGGATTAATTACAGAAGATGAATCGTCACCCGAAGTGAAGAAACCGAAGAAGCTTGAGAAGAAACAGAACAATAAGAAGCAAGTGAAAAACACTTTGTTAACTTCTAGCGACGATGAAATTCCTAATACGCCGGTGAAAACGCGCCTTAGAGATGCAATTGCGCCCGCGATTGCACAAGAAAGTAAATCCACATACAAATCGAATGCATTATTTAGCCCTTATGCTAAGGAATCTGTAAAGAAGCGGGTTGAAGCATTTGAACAAGCGGTGATGTATAGCCCGAAACCAGTCGATGTAGACGTTCCAACTAGAATGACTAGAACAAAAACTCGTGCAATGGCCACTAAAGAAACCGAGACGGACAAAAACACAGAGAAAAGTGTCGCGCAGATATTAGCTCGTAAATCGCTCGCGAAAGCTAAAAAAATCTCATTGGCAAAAGAAAAGAAAGACAATGATGATTTTAAAGAGGTAAAACTGTAAAGTCAAATTTTGTAATTATTATTTGAATTTTTCTATTTTTTTTTACAGTTGTATTTTGAATTTTTCTTGTTTTTTTTCCATAGTTGTATTTTATTGTATTAATAAATCTAATCTTTTCCTTACAGAACAAGGAACAATTACAGTTGCCAAAACGAATTAATCAATTATTTATGAGTCAACCTGATAAATTAAATACAAAACAAACGCAGTTAAAAACAACACCTTTAAGCAAGATGAAATTGATGCAACCTTCAGTATCTGTAAACCGTCTTCACACTCCCATAAATACGCAAAATCTATCAAATGTAAGATCAATTTTAAGTATTTTCTTCTTTTTAATCGCGTTATACTATATTTACACATTTTTCTGTTTTAGTATACAAAAGCTTTAACTGCCTCGCGTACAAATATCGTTACTGGCGTAGAGTCTTTCATTCAACCGCCAAAAAGTATCACTAAAACCAATTCAGTAGAGAAATTGGAAGAAAAGAAGCGACACGAGGAGGACGCGAGAAAGAAGAGAGAAGAAACATTGAGATTACAAACGGAGGAGAAGAGAAGGTATATATAAAAATTTTATACAAATTTTGAATCAATATTTCATTCATATTTTGTATATAGAAAGCGACAAGAGAAGGAACTCAAGAACAAACTAGCGAGAGAAGCTAAAGAGAAGCAAGAATTAGAGAAACGACAAAAAACCGAGAAAGAAAGAGAAGAGAGGGCGAAATTAGCCCTTTTGATGCAGGAAAAGCAACGCGAGGAGATGGAAAAGAAACGTCTCCTCTTGCAGCAACGAGTGCAGGAGAAGGAAGAACGTCGCAAATTAGAGGAACAACAGAGATTGCAAAGATTGCAGGAGCAAGAGGAGACAGAACGATTGCTTGCCGAACAAAAACGACGAGAGCAAGAAGCTGAGAAGCGTAGGGAAGCAGAAGCGAGAGCCCAACAAGCTGCTGAGGTGTTGAAGCAAAAAAATCAAATACTCGCGGCTCAAGCTAAAGTGAGTTATCTTTTACGTCAAAGAAACTGTTCGTACTTTATTTACACTTCTATAATTAAATTGTTTCTCGATCTTTTGCAGTGTAAGCAACAAGCTCATAAGCATCAAGATAATACAAATTATGTAATAGATAGTGAACCTAATGATGACGAATCAGATGATGAAAGCAGACCGAAGCATAAAATACCACTGTGGGCATTGTGTACGTGTATTTTTTTAACATAATATTGTAGTATAAATAGGAACACTTAAGAAAATAAATATATACATTTTTTTTTGTATTGCAGCAGATATCCGCAAATCACAACTTGCGATGCAAATACACATTCCTCAGGGAATAATATACGAGTTCTTCGATACCCGTAAGTGCACGCCAGATTTGACTGAATTGTTCCAAAATATAGACAGAAGTCGATTGAAGCGTACATCCAGTGCAATCTGGAAAACACCTCCGCGTATTTCCATGATGGAAACCGAGTTTGTTCAACCAAAAATAATATGAATTTAATATCATATAATGATTTAAGTGCAGACAACTTTGAACAGAGATCTTTACTATTACATATACGCATGCTATTGTGGGCGATATGTCATGATAATATTTAAAACAAATCGTTTTAATTCAGGAAGGGTGCGTTGTTCATTGTTATATCCCAATATTCAGCGACAATGATGTCCGTAGTATCTTTACAAATTGACAATGCTTGTTCACTTATTTATATATCTCAACATTATTGCATTCGCTGAAGAGAGATTAAAGTCTTGTATGTAATTAGATAATCGATTTAGTAAATTAGATCGAAAGATAATTGTTATATGTATATGAGGTTTGCTAATTCGAGTAATTTAAATTAAGAATCTCATTTTGACTTATGCAATGTGTAAAATATATATTTTACTAACACTGCCAGAGTTTTATAAAGTTATAAGAAATCAATGTTACAGTAGATTTAATGTTGCGGAAGTGCCTTCGGCTCTTTCCATCAGTGGAGAATGCAGCGGTTTCATTGCTCTCCTTAGATACATCTTTTTACTGTAATTACAAATATTTCTGAAATATTGGGCGAACATCGTATGTGATATTTTTCTCCAATAATTTCAAATAAAAATAAAAATCCATACTCCATTTTTTGTCCAAGTAAAAGTGTTTTTTGCGCCTCTACAGGTTTCAAAGAGTATGTTGATAAATGCATGTAAATTGGTATCTACAAGTATGAAATTACTATAATACAAATTATTTTATATAGCAATATAATAAAGTAAAATATTACAAAATATTTCAGTTTGAAGCATTTATATATACATCTACTCACATATGGCAAAGTATTATCTAATTGCAGGTGTTTTTGATACATTTTGCCGGGCAGCTGTGACTTGTAATAATTCTCAAGCGCTAAACTGTCAAATTCCTTCCCATATATTATATGTCGCTTTTCTTCGAACATTTCTTTCGTGATATCGATCTCCTCTTTTTCAATCTTCATCTCTATTCGTCTCATACCACCATGAAGTACCTTTATATTATTCCAAAAATATATATTGCATTCTTATAATTTTTTCTTAAACAATTTTCTTAATAGTCTTGCCTTTAAAGTAGTGAAACTGGCGACTCTCCTAATATCTGCCGGAAGCTTGTAATCCTCAAAATATTTCTGTACGGGTACAGTAGGCAAAATTGTGATCCAATTTCTAAACGTGCCAAGCGTCGATATGTAACGACCTCCAAAACTCCACAAACGTACCGTGCGGTCCGCACTACCGCTATTATTTATTTAAATTTTTTAATAAAAGAATGCGCTTGCATTAATTTTCATAACAATCTTAGTTCACCTAACGATTATTCGCGCGCTAGAGATGATCAGCAGAGAAGTAATTCCCCGCATGTGGCCGCGTACGGATGATAACAAAAGTGGCAGCGTCTGATTTCGTACCGCTCTCTTCGCTCTTCCGACTATCATGTCTTTCCACAAGAATGGGAATTCCAATCTCAGTAATGGCATACACACTTTCGGCGGATTCGGTAGCATGTAATTAGAGAGCAACCAAACCTTTATGTATCCTACGCTATGACCTTTAAGGAAGAGTTCCAAGAATGAAATTACATTTCTGAAGAATTCTGGTATGTGAAAGATTAAGGATGCCCGATCAAAGTTTGAAAAAGTTTAAAAACCTGTTACGAGAAATTGATTTTCAGGATCAGTAGCTAAAGACGTGGCACAATCGCCGACTGTATGGATGACTGAGAAAGCGCCTAAAAATCCCGCCTCGGGATGATGAGTCCATACTTGCACCAAGCCGCAATCGAGTGCGACCAGCAACGTACCGACATCCGGTCTCTCTTCTCTCGCAGTTAGAAAAATTATTGCGCGCACCGCAGTTTCGCGAACAACATTCAACGCTGATTCTTGATAAAGACACGAAGTCATTTTTCTGATTCACGGGGAATCGATTTAGAATTTTTAATAAAAAGAGAATTTTTTGTAATCTTATAATAATTTACTTCATTTCTTGATCGATAGATTTGCCAATCTCATTCGAGGTTGCTTCTTGTGCGTTCATCATTGTAATGTACCTGTTAAATAAGTTAATCGTTAGTTGCTGCTATTTGTAGCGCCAATTATTGCTCATACTACAATTGACGTCACCTTTTACTAACATTAGTCACTTGATACTGTCTAAAAGGTTGACCTGTTTCAAGATTCCAGAGAATCAATTCTCCGTTGTACGTTCCGGTAGCTAATAGCTGCGGAAATTTTATGGCTGCGCATAGAATATCGTCGGTGTGATTATTCGTCCAATTCTTGCAAATATCAGACTCGGAAGCTGCTACTTCTGTGACACGTTTATTCCAGCCGCAGCACAGAATTTGATTTTTATACCACACAACATTTGTTATTTCGCTAGTAAAAAGATAAGAACAATGAAGTAAGAATTTGTTCATCTATCAAGGAAAATATCGTAACTACATTGGATATTTTTTAATTAGAATTATTTTATTAGTAATATGTTGAAAATATATAGTTTTTTAATTCCCATAATTTTGTTTCTAATTGTAACACACACACACACACACACACACACACACACACACACACACACACACACACACACAAAATTA